TGCATCCAACGTGACCTAGCGATTTTAACTAAGTCGTCGGTCGATCTCGTAGGTGGTCGTCCCACACTGTAGTTGTACAAAACTGCATAATTTATGAATCAGTTCATTTTCAATATCATCAAAATTATAAATATTAACATATGAAACATAAATTCGTCTGGCCATCACACCGTAATAGCTTATCTTAGGAATAAGTCTCCTCGCCCCCGGGAGGTCATAAAGTATCAGAATGCGATTTTAATGTGTCGCACCTCGGATGATCGCGGGATTTGCATTATTCATGAGCAGAGTTCGAATCGGGTGCCACTCAGGTTTTCATTTTCACATTTATTGGACTAAGATTCGGCGTATTGGAACGGTATAAGGAAGGAATTGGAAATCAATGCCTTCCCGAATGTTTGGAGATGTTTTAAGGGATTCAAAATTTTAAAGTTCATTTCATAAATAAACGCACTCTATTAGAAGCTTGTAAATTAATAGTTTCGTTATTCAATTAATAGTACTAGAGGTCCCGCAGTAGTGGAAATTCGACTATAATTAATTGGAATTGTAAGTTTATACACTATTATGATTGTATTTTATACTTCTATAATCACAAATTTCGCCAAGGCTACACTATAAAAAAATATTAATAAAGACAAACAATATTTAATCTATTCTCAATTTGGCCACAGACGTCAAGAACAAAAATTTGACAATAAATAGTATGCATGGGTGTGTGCGTCAAATACATGATATGTAGTGTGTGTAATGTTTTCTTTATTGATTTAATGTATCTTTTATGCATTATTTAAAAAAAAATATTAGCATTGTGCACTTCTCTATATTCTCTATAAGTGTAGAAAATTTCATACTCCTCCGTCCGCGCAATTTTCGTAAAAAGGGATACAAAGTTTTTGCTTCACGTATTAATATATAGATAATTGAAAAACGATTTAATTAAAGCTCATATTATTATTTTTATTTGCATAGCACTACTTTTGACTAAAGTATAATTTTGTTATATTTAACATAATTAAACTTAAGTAAAATTTGCACATTTTTGATATTCAGCGAATAGCTTGTGAGATCATATTTTAAGACGTTTAAAATTCAGGAAATATTAAAAATAAATATTAACTTTGTATTAGTGTTAGCAGCCGCTTAGTTTTCCGGTTCAATTATTAATGTATCGGCTTCGTGTGTTAATATATTAATTTATATAATATTTGAGTTGTAATAACTATAGGCTCCGATTGTCGCGTGTTAATAGTAGATTGACTATGCGTTTGTCTCTTCATTTAAGCTAATTTATACAGATAAAAGGCGGTTTTTTTTTTTTTTTTTTTTATTGCCCTTGTAGGCAGACGAGCATACGGCCCACCTGATGGTGAGTGGTTACCGTCGCCCATGGACTTCAGCAATGCCAGGGGCAGAGCCAAGCCGCTGCCTACCTACTATGTCTCGGTTTCCTATAGATTCCGAAACGGGCGGGTTTCAATGAAATTTTTGGGAAATATTGAGATTGGCTTAACGAGGACTCTGTGGTGGTAATTGGATCAAAGATTAGGGAGCAATGCAGGCCTGATTTGAGTAGTAAACCTATGAAAGTCCGTAATAAAGATATCAGTTATCGAACGAGTAATAAGATACCACTAGTTCGGGGAATGAACATCAATCTGTATATGCGGCTTTAGGACATTAAGGCTGCGCATTCCCCTTGCAGGGATGCCCTGTCTAGATTTCTTCTTTGTAACATCCAACATTACGGGTGCGATTTAACAGGGCGTGCCTTCGCACCAGTTGCAGGTTGGGGTACATACTCGTATAGCTAATCGATTTTCTCCGCCAAAAATATATGTCTGGAGTAAATATTTTATACTTATATCTGGGTAGTTAAGCTCACAGGCCATCACTGAAAACGTATTTTATTCCTATGTTGAACTTAATATCAAACTATCTTACCCTTGAAATATGCGTTTAATAACATCGCTGTAAAAATAGACTGTAAAAGTAATATGACCCCTTGCAGGCTCAACGCGTTCAAGATAGTAATGAGAATGAGTAATAAGCGCGGACGGATTATGGGGAAGTTTATCTGAACGAGCTTGCAGTCCACCTGGTGCTAAATTCTTAACGAAGCCTATAGGAATCACAACATGAATGCCGCTATCCACCATGAGACTTGATGTCTAAGTATCACTTCAGGCTATCGTGCCCTTGAAACCAGAAACGTTTGCTACCTTAGAATACGCCCTGCCACTAGTAATAAAGGCTTTATGAATTATCCTGATATTCTGTACCATTTTATCAGAATGTCATGTAATAGACTAGAACTTACTCGTATATTGTTAACAACCGTTTTAATATCTCAATAACAATTTGATCGGTTTCACTTTTTTCAAAAATTCGCATTTTAAACAGATTAGTGAATTCATACTGTATCCTTTTTTGGGATCTCGGTCTCCACACTAATCAATCGACTTTGTACTTTCAAAAATAAACTCATACGTGTAGTAATTGACATTGCCGTCAATACGGAGCTTTGCTGCTTAAAGTTAAAATTGCCGAGATGACATTTAAACATTTACATTTTCGGTGAGCTCACGGGCTCAATCTAAGAGAATTTCCCAAAACTAGCTCTAGTTAAGAGCAGTAAGCTGTAATCTGTCGAGAAACTCAGTGGGTTGTGTATGAGCAAGTTCGGACGTCCAATTGGACGAGAACTGTGACTGGTGCTTGGGGAGTCGAAAGCTCCGTGAGTGGATCCAGGGGATCCGACAAGACATGTCTTGAGCGACGGCAGTTTTGCTTTGCCCCGTCGCCTGGATTGGATATGTAGTTAGCCGCGATCACGATAAGAGAGTTCATTAGCAATAGATAATTCCACTAGTACACAATGATTAACCACATATGTAGGACATCATGTGTCGTGATTGGTACATAGCGCAAACACGTCAATGTGAGATAGTCTGAATTATTGGATAAAACTTGGTGATTTGAGACATGAGCTCTTAATAGGATTGTACAAAAATAGTTATTGATTTGCATTAGTTTAATTAAGATTTACTATTTAATTTTATATCTAGCCTAAATTGCCTAAATTGGTGTCAAGTTGCCTACGGCAAAATTTCATGTTCTATAAAATGCATCAAATTCTCCCCATTTTGGATTATGCCTGTCGTATTTGAGTAAACCGGTAACCCTGTACCCACCTGATTGATGGATTGAGACGTGTAGCACGACACGCTGCGAGCTATTACTCATAATTTAAACGTGATATCGACACGTTGATGCTATTGGATATTATGTGTTTGTTATCGGCTTATCGATTTTCAAATTAAATATTTTTGCGCTGTCACGCCGACTAAGACTATATTAAAGTAAAGTAAAGATTCTTATCTAGCGATGCAACGGTGTTCGAATCCCGCAGATGAAATATGTATTTAACAAATGTTCAAGATTGGCTTCCACGGTGAAACAATAACATCGTGTAATAAAAATCAAACTCACACAACAGTTAATTTGCGTAATGACTGGTGGTAGGATGTCTTGTGAGTCCGCACGGCTGGGTACCACCACCCCGCTTATTTCAGTCGTGAAGCAGTAATGCGTATCGGTTTAAAGGGTAGGGTAACCGTTGTAACTATATTGAGATCTTAGAACTCATATCTCAAGGTAGGTAGCGGCATTTACGTGGGCCGTGAGTTCGTCCATCCACCTAAGCAATAAAAAAAAAATTAAGTAAAAATAATACCTTTTGATATATAGATTCAATGATTAGTATAATAGCCGGCAAACTTCTTGAGCATTTGTTGACGTAGTGGGGGTAAGTTTGCGCATGGTACACTCACGTGCAAAAACAATATTTACTCTGCGTCATAATGCAATTAAATTATTAAAATCAACATATGTATTTATTTATATATTTATGAGAACATCAACAAAAAATATAGGTTAATAATTGTAATAATTTAATCTTGGGGTAAAATAGATATTCCTTCTATTAAGTCAAAACTAGAGCTGTTGCCAGGCCTTGGTTAAGTTGAAGCGAAGCTGGTATTTGTAATTTTTTTTTTCGTTATCATAATCTTGACCATCATCATCACTGTTTTTATCACCCGAGTTGCTATCATCGTGATGAGTCGACATAGGGATCATCGGTGTAGTTTACAACTCGGTCGGTTCGGTCTACTTTTTTGTCTATAATTAATTATTTTTTGAAGATATTCGATTCGTAGTAATCGAATGTAACTTTTTTCAATTACCAGCTTCCGATTATTTTCTGTTTTTTTTCCATCTGAAGCCTAGCTCTTTCATAATTCGTCGTAAACTTCATACCGAATCATTAAAATTTATATCTTCTTTAAATTTTTCGAAGCCTTTCTACGGTACGGAGTTTCGCTGCTTGTTATGTAGTTATTATGATTACAACTTTTTATTACAGATTGAACGAAACTATCCATTCCGGTAAATTTCTTTTTCCCTGATCTTTTCTTACCCGGAGTCCGAAACACGGCAAGCAAGCCAGAGTCTTTAGCTTCGTTAGTAATGCACCTAACAGTACTCACGGATGTTTTTGTTGCTTCCGAAGTCTGTTTTACTTTTTCCATATCATTCTTCCCCTGTTTTATAATGAACGTCGTACACAATTTTTCTACCCTTTCTTTTGAATACTACACCAGTTTGTCGCGGCATAGTGTATTTTTTATAAAAAATCAACAAACACTCAACAAATAGCAATGGCAACAAAGTCAACAAGCAATTATAACAAATAACTTAACGATTAATAACGATAGACTTTTCACTGTACGCAAGCGTACTTTTGGGAGCAAGCGGTACGAGGGCGCGGTGCGGGACGCAAGGTTCGACTGATCTACCAATAACGCGCTCGATACGATTTCCCCTGCCGTCGCGCCTCACCCTCACCACCAAAGTGATCTAAAATTCGGTTCTGCGCAGTCAAGGTCATTTGCTCAAGAAGTTTGCCGGTTACTATAAGATATGTTTTTTGTTCCTAGACTCAAGAAATGTAGTTTTCACGATTGTGAGTCAGCAGGAGCCTTATCATGCGAGTGTGGCCAAACGACTCAAAGAGAATATTGAGACACAAGTGTGGGAGTTGGAAGAGGTAAACGATACAAAACTTTAAGTTATATATTATAATAAATTTCTTGTTTGTACCTTAAAAGTACACAAATAAGTATATTGAATAAATAAAAGTCAAAACAAGCTAGAGTACAAATTATACTTGTAATTTAACTTAAATTTTAAATAGTGAAGCTAAAACGGAATGCGCTTTAATAAACAATGAACATCCTGAGAATAGATAAACGGTTTGTCGTCTCTTTTAGCGCCATTGCAAAAGACAAAAGTCACAATAACTATTCTCGATGGGGTTTTCAAGTTAATTTTACTCAAATAACGGCCGTCTGGTGTCGTGGTAAGTGACACGGTCACCACACAAGGGGATCGCGGGTTCGAACTCCGCCAAGGGAAGATATTTGTATGATAAATATAAAATTGTCTTTTCCAGCGTTATGGATATATGTTAAATATATGTATGTGTATAATAAAAATCTTTCATTTATTTCCGTTATCTGGTACCTGTAACACAAGTTCTTTACGAACTTAGCACGGGACCAGTTAACGTGGCGTGATAAAAAAATAATACTTGGTTGGAATAATTAGTTAATGTTTAATTATAATTTTGATTCATCGTGTGTTTAGCGACAGCCAAAGGTTCATGTAACACACGAAGACTTTCCCATACCGGGCGCTTGGACTATTATACCACTTTTGAGACCTTTGGTAACTAAATACAATGGAAGCGACGTGAGATGGGTGGTGTTTGTGGAGAGCCATACTGCTGTCAGGTGCAAGAGACTGATCGATGCCCTTGCAGCTGCCGATAGGCATAAGGTAATATGGTTTTTGTTTATTGAGATTGTGATTTGGCGTCTTGTAGCTGAAATTTTATTTTCATGGGCATTCTGCCAGCTTAGACTAAAGTGGAAAAGACTGCCTTTACTATGCTCTTGAGCCAACCATTTCAGGATAGATTTGGTTCTGAGATTTATTATGGCATTTGTAGGCAGATGAGCATCTGTATGCTGATGGCAAGTATTTATCGTCGCTTATGGACAAACAGTCGCCTACTGCTAAGATTTTTGATAAAGGGGCAGTGGTCCCAATCACACTAAACCTTTTAAAGATCTTTTTTTATCTTTATACTAAAGAGATCACGTATTGCTTAACGGACTGAAACACAATGATTGATTGTAATATAACCCTCGAAAACCCCTAATTTATTTCATCCCTGTTACTTATGGCACAAAAAGGTTTCGAATTCGGATTTTTATGTTTATCATATTAGAACAACAAGACTCATGGCCTTAGCGTTTAGCTTTTACCGAAACCTGTAGACATTACGATGTGAATTTATTGCTATTTACACGAGATTTGAAATAGGGCGGCAAAAGGGTAGCTTTGTATTATAAATAGGATCGAATGCGTTAAAGATCATCCTGTGAAAATTGGATTTTACATAAATAACATGTTGTTTTTTAAAATCTGTAAATGACAATGCATTTTTTTTTCGTTGAATTCATTGATAGTTTTAAGACCGGTTTTATGATGTTAAAAAGCCAAAGGTATCCCAAGGTACCCCCATTTTAAAACATACGTCCGTAGGGCTTAAGATTATTTTTATTTCAGGATACAATGTGGATCGGTTATCCGTTGCGCGATGACGAACCGACCATAATCCACCATTTCACGTTTTACGAGGAGCTGGAAGAAGAAGGGGGTTTCGTTTATCCGAATTTCGCAAGTGGTTTCGCCATGCGAATACAACTCATGGAGAAGTACGTTTTGTTAACAAAATTCTTCAACGGGATTCTAGCATTTAAGTCCTTTCTGTTTTCGAGATACCAGAATTTCCTGATTTTTCAACACAGGCTCCGCCAACTTTGAGTACAGCTGGAGTTTAAAAGGGATCAACCGTCTCTTTGAAATCTAAACGCAGAACACATTTTTTAGTTGAAATACACGCACGAAATATGAAGTCATAAGTCAACGGGTTTGGTAGTAATGTCGTTTTACTAAACATTGCATGGTCTGAACTATAGCACTATCTAATTCCAAGATCAAATACTTTTATTCCATGTAATTATTACTTTTAGACTCCTGGATCAAATAGAACGAGGTGATCGTAAATTGGAAGCGGACTTCTCCATAGATCCGGCCTTCGAACTAGCTCAACTGATTTACGGAGACAAAACGAACCCTGGGCCTCTGCTGACGGCCGACCCGAGCTTTTGTGTGGTCTCCGCAGATAACTGCGCCACTTATCCGCGCCAGTTCGACATATGTGTGAGCGACTCTTCGAATCCTTTAACGGTTTTTATGGATACAGCAGTGAGGTTTTGAGCTATGCCATTTAGCAGCGAGATTAAATTTTGCAAAGCTTAATGTTTTCAATATGTACACAGCCTTAAGTACTAAGCCAATAAAGATAGATTCCCGTAATGTTTCGTTTGTCTTCTTTGTGGTGGTTTGGTTTGGGGTTACAGATTTTTTTTATTGCTTAGATGGGTGGACGAGCTCACAGCCCACCTGGTGTTAACTGGTTACTGGAGCCTTTAGACATCTACGACATAAATGCGCCACCCACCTTGAGATATAAGTTCTAAGGTCTCAAGTATAGTTGCAACGGCTGCCTCACCCTTCAAACCGAAACGCCTTACTGCTTACGGCAGAAATAGGCAGGACGGTGGTACCTACCTGTGCGGACTCACAAGAGGTCCTACCACCAGTAAATTTTTCGATCAGAATTGACGTAACACCTTACTTCTTGTCTTGCCCGTTGAATTCGATGGTTGTTTTCTACGAAGGAAAGGGTAGATAGTAGATGTTTAATATGGATTTGGGCCTTTTTAGGGACGTAATAAACATCCCTCCTTAGTACTTCTCTCTGATGGCCAAAGAACGTTCCTCACGAGTTGACCATTGCGTGAAGTATTAAAGTTGATGGTACTTGGCAGGGCAGTCCCATACCCGAGTCGTCGATATACTTTGCCGTGAAGACCTGGAGCGGCTTCCACTCGACCAGGGCGAAGGTCGTCAAGAAGACTTGGGGAAAGCACGTTACGAACATCATGTTCTACAGCGACAAAGACGGTTCGTACACTCGTGCGCCAGGCACTGGGATCTGGCGATAGGCTCGGAGATCATTCGCTGTAACATAGTGTCATGCGTGAATCATTGCAGAATGTTCTAGTGTAATAATGATCATTTTGTGTGAAATTTGAATGACTCCTTTGCTGTTCGTTAGTCTCGCTAAAACTCGAGAACGGCTGGACCGATTTGGCTAATTTTGGTCTTGAATTATTTGTGGAAGTCCAGAGAAGGTTTAAAAGGTAGATAAATATGAAAATGCTCGGAATTATAATAAATAAAAATAACAATTTTGTTTTCCCTTTGATGTGTCCCCCGACGGACTGATTCCTTTTGTTTGTTTTAAGTTTATTTTATACAAAAGTTTAGGTATTTTATTTATCGATTGAGGCACTACGAAGTCTGCCGGGCTAGTTACTGAATAAAATCGAATAATTCAAACTTATTTAACATTAAAGCTGACTAGCAGCAGATATGGGGAATCGTTGTAGCGTATTCGCGTAGCTGTGATTATATAAGTCATGCAGCTTAGCCCCAAATGACGTCACACATACAACAAAGGGGCCATATATGCGCGTTTTGATATAAGCTACGCCAATAAAGAAACGAATCGAAAATGGCGTCTATGTACCTGCACTGACAGATGGTAGGGTCAACAAATAAAAAGAAAGAGAAAAAATATTTGTATATTGTAAAAATATATAAAAAAAAACAAGTTAATTTAAATGAGATTCTTGTCCTCTTCAAAGTATTTAATAACGTTATACACGATTTCGCCTGCATCACTGTGAAGGACTTTTCCTCGTTTGTGAGAGGCCATATTATTTACCACACGTGGCACAAAAAAACGATAACCATAACAAATTTAACAAAAACAACAAAATAATGAACAAATGGAACAAAATTAAATAACAACAGAATTTGAGAGAAAACAGAGCGCGTCGAGACAGTGTGAGAACCAAGTCGGAACTGATATTTTTTTGCATGCAGTACGCGCCGTGTGCGACTAGAGACAGCAATAGTTTAGAGTGAGAGCGCATGATCGCCGCCGCCATTTTAGATTCGCTTCTTTATTGGCGCGGCTTACACGAACTGGACGGTGTCGTGTAATCGGGGGATGTATGCTATAGATCCGTCTCTGCCGGCCGAGGCTGTGGGCGTACCGAACACGAAGACGGGTCACTGCCTCAAGACGGTTACCATATTGCAGAGGGTGGTCGAGAGGGTCCGCGACCTGCCGCACGTTAAGTGGATATTTTTGGCCGACGACGACACCATCTTGGGGTAAGTGCAGCGGTAACCAGGGTACGTGTAGTGCTCGGAGACACAAGGGAAGATCAGCCTCCGGGTGGGGTTCGCTATCCGGGCCATTGTGTACAAAAAAAGAATATTGAAAAGGTCATTCACAAGTGCCATTCAGGCTTTTATCAGATGTCTTTTATTCTTGAAGAACTTTCGCTAAATGTAGTGGTGGGATTGATACATAAATATATGGATATTACGCCAAACGACGAGACCACTAAACTCGGTAGACAGTCAACGTGTCTATGGAGAAATAGGAATCAGTCCTACCAGTTTGTCTATGTTTAAAATTATTTTCACACATATATCATTCATTCATAATCATCGTCTATATCTATATGTTTGTCTCTTTTTAGTGTCGTTTTTTCGTTTCATGAAATCGCAAAGTTGCTAAAAAAGTTTTTACTTCAAAACTTAATATTTCAGTTTGAAACAATAGCCTGATATTTCATGTCGTGATATATTTTCGTTGGTCGCATTAAACTATTGAAGTTTTTATGTAAGCCACACTGTTCCCAGCGTGCAGAGGCTGTGCGAAGTGCTGAGCTGCTACAGGGGCGGCGATGACGTCACCATTCTAGGTGAACGGTACGGGTACGGCTACGGGAAGCGAGAGACCGCCTCTAAAGGTTCGTCTTCACTTCTGCCCCTCCTCCTCACATTGAACGACTTCCCCCCCCCCCCTGTCGATTGCTTCATGAAATACGTACTTGACGCGTGCTCACGAATAATATCCACCGTGACGGAATAATATTACAGTAAAATCAAACTCGTTAAAATTATTGGTGACATCTTGCGTAGTCCGCATAGGTGGGTATTGCCGCTCCGCTTATTTTGTCGCGAAGCAGTGACCTTCCACTTTAAGGGTGGAGCAGCCGTTCAATTTGGGACTTGTCACTAACATTTGAACCTGGGCGACGTCGCTACAAGTCACCGCGTGTGTCCGCCCGCGCAGGGTACGACTACGTGACGGGCGGCGGCGGCGCGGCGCTGAGCGTGGCGGGCGCGGCGGCGCTGGGCGCGTGCGCGTGCGCGGACCCCGCGGCGCCGGACGACATGACGCTGGGCGCGTGCGCGCGCATACTGCGCCTGCCCCTCACGCACTCGCCGCTCTTCCACCAGGTACCGCGCACCGCACCTCCAGCTCCGGCACTGTAACCGCACCTACTAGTCGAACTCGCCAATGAATTCGACGTGAAACTCAACCCATACATAGTGTGACCATACATCCCGATTTGAGCGGGACAGTCCCGCTGTCCCCAATGAGGCCGACATAGCCGCTTTTGCAAAGAAGCCAAACGATAAATTTATTTTTCAATTCAACATAGAGCTGGAACTGTTTAAATGGGCTAATTTAAAAAAAGTACAGGATATTACAGAGTACTAACAATTTTGTGTTTATTGCTTTGATTCTATTGTTATTCTATCTTCTATAAGAAAATACTCGTAAAACATTAAATACTCTTTTTTTATTATATAATTCGGCAGATGTCCTGCGTTAATAAAAAAAAAAAAATGGTCACCTTACCCATACATAGAGCTGCTGATGATATTGTGCTCTAGTAGTGGTAGGATATCTAGTGTGTAGCGCAGTCCTGGTTAAGTCCGTAACGTGTTCACTGCGGGGGGTTGGGGGGCAGGCGCGGCCGCGGGAGTACGCGCGCGAGGCGGTGGCGCGCGACCGCCCGGCGACGTTCCACCGGCACGAGCCGCGCGACCCGCTGCGGGTCTACGTCACCTGGTTCCAGCACCACGACCTGCCCGCCAACAGGAACTGGAAGGACGAACTATGAAATCACAACTAACGAGTCTTTGTCTTAGGTCTTTGGTTAAGTTCGTTAATTCAGGCCCAATTTTAAGATATGGTTTCCAAGTAAACCAACATTGGTCTGACCGAAACCTTACCTTGAGCGATCGTTTTAAAGAAGCGGTCGGGGAACTTTTTTGATTATTACCCCAAAATATTGTTGTGTAAGTTGATATTACCCCATGGCGAAGAACAAAAAAAAAAACGAAATCGCTTCTTTTTAGCATCTTTCATATTATTATAGCCCCCATGATAATTTTGAAAAAAATATTATTTTTTCGTTTCGTTTCATTTCACGCGTTTCATCGAGTTTGAAATCACAACGATTCTAAAGAAGTTTCACTTCAATATATACTTTTTACTCACAAAAGTTTCATTTTACTCCCCAAAATTTCATTTTACCCCATTTAGGGTAATTTACCCCGGTTCCCCGACCGCTGTTTTAAAGCTTTACAAAATATGGCTAAAAACATTTTTACGAAGATTTATACACACATTACTCTTTAGTTATATTGATTGGGTGCTTACAACTAATGAGTCTCTGGTTAAGTTGGTTAATTCAGACTAGAATTTAATATTATGGTTTCCAAGTTAACTAACATATTATTATAATGATCTGTCTGGTCGAAACCTTAGCTTGAGCGATCATTTTAAAGCTTTACAAAATATGATTAATAACATTATCGCGAAAATTATAAACACATTTCTTTTTACTTATAACAAGCATAATAAGACTGCTCTAAAACATGAAAACAATATCTCGAAGAACTTTTAGTAAGTTCAATTAAAAAATATGAATTAAAACCGTTCATTCAGAACGACATATTATATAAATTAGTTAATTTCAACGGGAACGCATTAATACCGTCTCAAATTAGACAAAAAGAATTTCATATTTCAATTTCAATTTCAAATTTTATTATAATTTCATATAAACAGTACAGAACCTCCTCCGTATATTCCGACCGTCTCAACGCCGTCAGCTTTTTTCATATAAAAATAATTCAAAAGGCAACAACGTGACAGAACATAATTATTATGTTGGTCTAATTCTCGATTGTCTACAACTTTAATCATTTTAAATATTAACAGGATCAATTTTTTATTATACAACATAGTTTTATGTTAAAATTAAAAACATTTTCAAGTATTTGTCACAAACTAATGTTCAAATATATGAATTCAAATGTACCTTTAGTTTTTTTTTTATTGTAATGAAACATTTTGTCTGGACTCTTTTTTTTTTAGAAAGAAGATAGAGACGGATATACTACTTTTAAGCTTAAGTTGCTTAAGCGCTAATGCATCGATATACAATTAATGTTTAAAAATAAAGAAATATTTTTACAGAATGTGTTTTATTTAAATTTTTGGCTCCATCTGAATCCGACCAAACTTTACTGTGAGACCGTCGCCATGTCTGAGATATGCGGATTGTTTATTGATAATCTTCTCGAACCTAATCTCAAAGAAGTACTCTTGGGTAAAAACGTGTTTGTTTTTAAATTTAGGTTTTTATAAGGCTCTGATCAAGGACTACGCCTTCATAAAACATTCTCGAGATCAATACACGAGGCAGACAGCTAATTACAGTACGTTGTCTTCCCTAATGGAAGCATTGAGAGGCGATGACTCGCGTATACGAACCCCAAGTCATGTTACTTAATAAACAGGAGATCCCTTTCACGAATTTCGCTTTATAAATGACAAACGGGGGATTATTTGACGGGATTCAAGGAACTGTGAAGTTGGAAAGATTTCCAGCAGAGTATATTTTTAGGAAGAAAAAAAAGGGGGCGTGTACTTATTTATATAAGCGCGTAAGAAGTTATACTTTATTTTTATTAAATTATAACTTTTTATTTTTTTTATTTAAATTTTAATCAATTTGAAAAAAATCGATTAAATAACATACTCAAACACGCATATTGGACATCCCTTTTCTTGACATCGTATACATTCGGTAATTCTCGGTACGGTTCGGAAAGTTCACCAGCGGCTATATTCAGACTCGCCAAGTTACGTCGGTCGGTTTCAAGGTGTGTGGCGCATTTACGTTGTAGATGTCTATGGGCTCCAGTAACCACTTAACACCAGGTGGGCTGTGAGCTCGTCCACACAACTAAGCAATAAAAAAAAAAAAATTGTAATGAGCGATTTAGTGGGCAGCTTCATTCTGTTAATTTTGTGTCACGGTGCGCGCGCATCGTAAAATTTCACTCGCATCAATTTTTCATAATGCGCCTAAAGAAGTATAACTTCAAAAACAGTTTGCGATGCAACAACTCAAATGTTGCTATGTTAAATAAGTACAAAAATCCGTAATGAAAATATGAATTTTAAATGTGATAAGTTCCACCGATGTTATTTTCGCGAACCTAAAACTACGTTTATTTATTCCTTCGTCTTGGCGGTAGGTGCTTTGGTAAAAGTTAGGAAGGCGAAAGGATCAAAAGCAGTCATTTGTCATTCGACACGCGATACCCTCTAACTTGAATACTTTGGTAAGTGCCCTTTCAGTTCGTAACTCGCAACTTACATTTTTCATTACTAAAACTTTTCTGAGCGTTGCGTCTCGTGTTTTTTTTTTAGCACCGCAAATGGTCTTGTACGAACCTATTAGTAAACAGATTTTGGTTACAGATACATTATACCGATTACAGAGGTAATAGAATATTTAGCCAAAAAAGTATTGTGAAGACAAAAAAAAAACGGCTCTCAAACTGTAAGCCGGCATTTATTACATTCATTTCATAGTTATCCTAAGGATCAGATCAAAGGATTAAGTTAGGTGATGAAAGAGAAGTAGTTAATGGGAAGTTGATGTCCACGCTAGTACTTCACGCACAAGCGTGGACTATGGGGTCTGCGGGGACGTCCAACCACCACCACTGCATCAACGACTCGCGGCTGATATTTTAATTACCTTTTAAAAACAGTCCACTTTATAATAAAACTTCAAGAATGATTTTACTGAGCTCTATTTTACTGAGTTATCGAACAGTTGAAGTGTTGGGGATCGCATCTTTGTACGTTTCTTTTGATAACATATTATCGTCTGAATTGAATTCTGAATGAACTGAACTCTCAATTCTGTTTAACGATTCCTTGGCAAGCGGTAATTTATTCATATTTATATTTAGTCTTATTATCATAAAGCCTTATAATTTTCTTTTATACATTACCTACAGTAATTTACAAAGCAAATTCGCTCCGCACTTGATTCTCGACTTTTATTCTAAGCTTTAATTTTGATTATGTTACAAAGTTTACACGAACCGAAATTAATAACCATAATTATTTCAAAACTATTTGCTTAATCTAATATGAATGAAATAGTGGAGTGCCGCCCGAAGTCCAGTCGCCCACTAATCTGTCAGTCCCTTTGTACTCCGTAACTCAGTTACGTCTAGTTCGCGTTTAATCAAACTAATTCATTTAGAAGCATTGAAATGTTATTATTGTAATTTTATTACGCTACCACGAATTTCTCGCTGAGTTTTCGATCAATACCATAAGTCTACCACGGTTGTTTTTTGATTAAAAATAATGAGGGCGGCTTACAGAAAATACTTATTAATCTAAATGTAATTAAAAACGTTGCTTCGTGCTAGATGCTGCGCTCCGTAGCTTAGCTTCGAAAATGTGGTATCATTGATAATCTCCGGCTACTGTGACATTGTTAATAATAATGTCACAGTAATGTCTTTTCTTAATGTCTCCCTGACATTCTCTGTTCTTACCGCTTAAAACAATACTGCACTACTATAATTGAGTTAGGACCTATTAAGGGCCCTAATATATATATAAAATCATATAGCTATAGCTGTAAATTACTTCACAGTCGCCCACTGAGTTTCTCGCCGGATTTTCTCAGTGGGTCCCTGATTCCTGTCCTGATGATTCTGCGAAGCACTGCTCTTGCTAGGGCCAGTGTTAGCAACACACTCGGTTTGAGGCCCGTGAGTTCACCTACACGTCAAGGAGAAGCTGAAATAGCCTACCAAGGCTATCAGCATAGGTAGGGGAAAAATAGCTTCAGAGAACAGCCAATAAGTAAGCAGAGAGAGAGTGAGTGAACCCCGTGTGATTGAATAAAATCACATACTGTCTTCTTAAAAACTACATAGGAAGTTCTACTACTGCGTCGATCGAGTAGCTTTGATATGATATTCAAATGAGATCTTGTAGCGTCAAAGCCACTTTAGACATAATTAACTACATTATCATTATTATTTCATTTATATCATGACCCGGCAGACTTCGTAGTGCCTCAATCGATAAATAAAAGACTAAACTTTTGTATAAAATAAATTTGAAACAAACAAAAGGAGTCCGTCCGACGGGTGACACACCAAAGGGAAAACAAAATTGTTATTTTTATTTAATTCCGAGCATTTTTATATTTATCTACCTTTTAAACCTTCTCAGGACTTCCAAAAATAATTTAAGACCAAAATTAGCCAAATCGGTCCAGCCGTTCTCGAGTTTTAACGAGACTAACGAACAGCAATTCATTTTTATATATAGGTATAGATTAAATTCATTAAAAATAACATTTCATGTACACAATATAAATATAAAATAAAAACAATAACAACAATTTCGGAATAAAATAAAAATTATGTTAGTAGATATTTTATTGGTGACAGTTTAATTGACATTCCAAGGACAACCAGAATTTAGTACTTCAACAAGATAATCACACTGTTTAACTTAATTCCAGTTAATTTTGAATTATTGTCGCTTACAATGTAAAAGTTTTTTTTTTAATTACTCGTCCAAAAAAGTTTTGCGTGCTGATTTGATATTAAGTGACTACCGGATCCCATAAACACCACAACATCATTACAACCACCCAGTGTAAGACAGAAGATCCAACTTTCATTTTTTACTGGTGGTAGGACGTCTTGCGAGTCCGCAAGGGTAGGTATTACCACCCTGCCTATTTCTGCCGTGAAGCAGTAATGTGTTTTGGTTTAAAGGGCGGGCCAGCCGTAGTTAAAAGTGGACCTTAGAACTCATGTCTAAATTGAGTGCCGGGATTTACGTGGTAGATGTCTATGGACTCTGGTCACTTAACATCAGGTAGGCTGTAGGTAGGTCGCACACACAACTAAGCAACAAGTAAAAAAAATGTATAATCGTTATCTTACCGTTAATTCGAATAGGCAGGTTTGTGGTACCCACCTCCTCTGGACAAGGTCTA